AGAGTCAGGACCTCGGTTTAACATCTCATCCGAAGGACGGTGCTCTTTGACAGTATAGTGTCCCCGTCACTATACTGGGGCGTTAGGACCCACACAGACCACAGGGTGAGCACCCCCTGCTGGCCTCACTAACACCTCTACCAGCAGCAACCTAGTTTTCTCAGAAGGTCTCCCATCCAGGTACTGACCAGACTCAGCCCTGCTTAGCTTCAGTGGGCAACCAGTCTTGGGCTACAGGGTGATATGGCTGCTGGCTCGTCCAGCAGCCTAAAAATGATGTTTGCGATGACTTATCATGAGAGGGAAAAAATACATTTCAGTCGGATAAAATCGGTTAATGGAAACATCGTCATTTCGCAATCGACATTTAGAAAACATCCCAAAAGTTGTGCTTAAATCTGTGATGGAAATGCTGCTCGTGTCAATCTCTCGCTGTTTCACCTCAGTAGTTTTAGTTTAGCTGTCCCCGAGAACATGTTGAGCTGTTAATGCTTTACACAAGGTCAAGTGATGTCATTTGTAAGCTGTAACGAAGCGTGAGATCTAACTGAGACTCAGATTCAGGTTTATGGAGCAGAGACACAAGCTGTTCAGTAAAACTCTTATTTTTGCTTTGTAAATTTGCCATGTTTCATTAAAGAACCTTCATGCAGACAGCAATAATGCTCCCATGAAAAGGATTTTCAAACTCAACTTTTACTTTAACTCTATTGTACTTTTATAACATTCTGGTGGTTTATATTCTGTATCATGCAGTGGTAATAGGCATATTTAGTGGAGTTTCGTTTGTGATTGTTTTTTTAACAAATTGGTTTACGCCCGTTTCCACCTGGTGTTAAGAAGCATTTCGGTCGATCGGATCACAAGTGGACGACGTTAAATAACGTTGTGAACGGGATCTAAAAATGTTGAGCTTGTCCACTTTTATCCACTTCCAGAGATAGTGTTAGACCGGATTGCGTTTGTAGTGTAAACGCTCATGTGATCGAAAGCATTCAAACAGCCACAAAAGACCGTCTACTCTCCGTGACTAACCATTATGGGAAGAGCGATAGCCAGACGGGGTTTAAACGTTATCAGCTGGAGACACAAGTTTGGTTTGAAGAGGAAAACCGTGCCAAGCACAATGTTCTCACCATTCCCGATTTCTAACACACACTCGCAGCGTTCGGCCTGGTAGACACGAAAGCTGATTCTCTCCGTGTGTTTTTCCGTCGTCTGTTTGTGTTCATATGTAATCCATTAGATCGACAGATCTGAAAAAGCCCATATATTTCCCCGCCCATAGACCCTCCCTCGAAGACATCAGGACAGAAGTGGTTTAAAGTGGACAGAAGAGATGGAGTAAAACACTGTGTAAACGGGAATGTGTCTCCCTCGTCTACTTGTGATCCGATAGACCAAAACACATCTTAATACCGACTGTAGAGAGGACCTGAGGGGACAAATCGTATAAGCTTGAAGAGCTTGGCAATGTAATGTGTGTCAGCAGCCATTCGTATATGAAAGGACATAATTGTCCTGAATGTTCAGGTTTTTAAAACCTGATTTAATTTTCAATTGAAACAAACAAAATTCAAGGGGAAAAAATTGCACAAGTGTTCACACGCCTCAACTAATACCTGGCTGAAGCAGCTTTTGCTTTTAAGCAGCCAGTCTTTTTTAATAAGAGTCTATCAACTTTAATAAATCTCCAGTGTACAGCCGGTTTCAAGCCATTCAACATGTTTTGATTGGATTCTGGTTCTTCCGAATTCATTCCTTTTTTGACTCAGTTTAGTGTTTGGTGCTATTCTTTATCTTCACCTTTGTAATAGAGGCCAGCGAGATTTGTGCCACAATGTGTCAGGTTCGTTATCGAGGCCCCAAACGCAGTTAGATCAACATACTTTATTAAAACCCAGCAGACTTACCAGTCACAGGGTGAACTACGACCAGCAGGCCAACGATAAAAGACAAAAAATGCTAAGTTTATGTGTTAGAAGGGTTATAGGACAGAGGGAAATGAGTTTGTGTTGATGCCAACCTCCAAAAAGAAGCGTTTTTGTAGACAATATCAAAGATGGCTTCTGCCTGTATACGCGAAGTGTTGTCGTTATAAAGCATCATCTTATTAAACGGTCTGTATACTTACAAAGTTCTCAATGCTTCGGTTTGCATGCAGGGACCCTCATTATGCTAGCGTGTTAGTGTGGGGCTATTTTGAGCCTTGTTAGTGGTATTAACTAGCGATGTCTTTTTACTTACTCTACTAGCGTTATACGCTAAACAGTTTTTAGAGATAAAACTCTTTACATTCGATTATCATGAAAACAAATCCCAGAGAACGGTCGACTCGGTACCAATGACGTTGTTGGGAAGTGAGGGTTAGTTAGAGGGAGCTTGACTTTGAGGCTGCAAACGTGAAGATACTAGAAGACTTCCCTGAATTTAATTTCGCTGCTAAACAAATCTGGAATTCGAGTCATTGGGAAAAGGACGAGTTTGGTAATTGCTGATATATAAACTGCCCCCTGGCGTGTGTTTCTCCAGCTAACCCCACAGGCCCGGTGCTGAAGAGCTATCCGGGTCAGGCCGAGGTGTTCCACGAGGACAGCAGCACCACAGGCATGGTGGTGGGCATCGTCGTCGCCGCCGCTCTCTGCATCCTCATCCTGCTCTACGCCATGTTCAAATACCGCAACCGCGACGAGGGGTCGTACCATGTGGACGAGAGCCGCAACTACATCTGCAACTCGGCCCAGTCCAACGGGTCAATCGTAAAGGAGAAACCAATGGACGACACCAGTTGCGTCAGTAAGAGCAAGAAAAACAAGGAGTATTATGTGTGATTGTGTTATTCCCGGCCCTTACGGGACCTTCTTTCTCTTTTAAGTTCTAGCACAAAAGTCAAACATAAGCAAGATAACAAAACCTGTGGAAAAGCAGTCACCGTATCTTAACCAGTGATGCAGCGAAGAACATGTTTTCTTCAATATTTAATCATTTCTTCACATTGGAATGGATGAGAGAACAGGATGATTGCCACTTGTCCAGCTGGAGAAAGACAAGCTGATTAAAAAACCCAAACTGACCCATAAGTGATGGAAAGATTGCCAAATCCATCTCGATCGGTACTCTGTACTCGCGTACTTTGTAAATGAGCTGTTTTTTTAAAACAAATGCAAGGAGAATGAAGAGCAAGTAATGAACTGACAAATTGTCCTTTTCTTGCCTGTTTGTGTTGCTGGGAACTTTGCAATGATGAAAAAGCATCACTGAAGACCGAGAAGAAAGGAAAGTCTCTCAGTGTTCTCCTTGATGGGCTCTATAGAGCTAATATGATTTGGACAGCTGATGCTAGAAGTGGGAAGATCACGCCGCTGAACATTATCTTTGGCAGACATGGACGTCTCAGTGAACATCTTATTTAATGTTTCCATGTTTCAAATGTGTGCTTTTCTGGACTGACAAATTTGTGTTTTATAACCGGTTGCATAAACAATGCAAACTTTATCTACTTCTTGGCAGAAAAGACTACGAAAGAATTATGAATGTCATTAAGATTTACAGGTGAAACTCGAAAAATTAGAATATCGTGCAAAAGTTCATTTATTCAACTTAAAAGGTGAAACTAATATATTATATAGACTCATTACATGCAAAGTGAGATATTTCAAACCTTTATTTGTTATAATTGTGATTATGGCTTACAGATATGAAAACCTTTTCACAATATTCTAATTTTGAATTTGGCGTTTTCATAAGCTGTAATCCATAATCATCACAATTATAACAAATAAAGGCTTGAAATATCTCACTTTGCATGTAATGAGTCTATATAATATATTAGTTTCACCTTATGGTGTGATTATGGTGTGGGGTTCACCTAGAATTACTGAACTTTTCACCTGTATATGAATTTATAGACAAGATCAATGATAGCATTTTCTTTATTCGCCATGTTTTTTTCATCATGTTACCCACAAATTGTGTTTGAAATGATTGTTGAAAAGTGATCTGTGTGTGCGTTCATGTTTTAGAAGGTTCTCTGAAAGACATGCAAAGCAATGAAGTCACATGATCCATCCAAAGATATATCACTACCAATATACTCACACCTGAATTATTCTCAGCCTATAGTGACGTTTATTTGCACATACACACCCTCAGAAACAAGCAACAATTTGATTTATGATCTCATTTTGTCTTGTGTGTGTGTGTGTGTGTCTCATTTCCTACTTTTAGAAGAGACGGGAAAACTGACTTTAAACTAAACACAAGAACCGTTACAAATTCATTTGACTTTTTAGACCTGTAGTATTTTTTATACACTATTTTATTTCATTTCTGAGACTTTCAAAATGTATGTATTAAAATGGTTTTGAAAAATTAATCAAGCAAATAAAATATTACCCAAAGTAAATAATTTCCTTGACAGTGATTTATAAATGTGTGCGGTCTTGGATAAATGTGGGTGTTAAGCCAACAGTGTTTATCTTGTTAATATGGATTCCATTTAATGACCGATTTATTTATTTGTTTATGTGTGTTAAATATTTATAATATACAATATATTTTTATATTTTACCACTAACGCTAACAGTATTTAAAGATTTTTCTTTTAGCACTAGAACACCCTTAGAATAAAATATTTCCCAGTATTTATAAAAGATAAGGTCCGTTTCATTAAGAATAATTTGTAGTTTTTATAATAATTATTTCTCTTCATACAAATGTGATTTCCGTAAAGCTTTTGATCTTCAACATTGAAGAGAAGTAGAAATTAATTTTAGAAGTTGAGGAATGAACATCATTAAGCTCATTTATTTAATGTTGGTTAAAGATAAATACAGAATTCCCTAGATTATTTTTTGGTTATTCATAAGTTCTATGTTTCGAAAGATAAAGGATGAACACTGAGCGGCTCCAGCGGGTAATGAAGTCTTCAAGTAAAAAGACTACACTGTCTGCATTGGGTTATAAATACATAGTGATAAAACTACAAGTGCATCTGTCGACTACTGGACCTGCTGATGATCAGTGAAGACGAAGTTCTTCAGGAGGCAGCAGTGTGTGGACGGCACTCCTCCGGGGATTTTAAAGATGGCATGCTGCAAAAACTCCCAAATGGGAGCAGAGGGCTTTGGATAGTTTATGGCATAGACATAAAACATTTTGAAACATAAATCCACAGCTTGAACTAAGGTCTCCTGTTCGATTGCCTCCCCGTTGAAAATGACGAACACTTCGGAGAAGTTCCCTTTGTCCCCGAGCACCAGCACGTGTGGATCCGGGCTCGTCTCGCTGTCCAGGTAATGAACCATATCAGTTCCAACCTTAAAACAATAAATAAAGTTCAGTTGACATGCATTGTGACAATATTCCATGGATACAATACATCTTTACAAATGAATAGGGCTGTCACTTTACGTTCGAAAATCGATTGCACACTCGATCGGACCAACAAGTTTCGAAAACGAAAATAGGGAATCGATTTTAACGGCCTTTTAGGTGGACAGATCAACACAGCACACAGAACATGTGGGATGCTGGAAAATAACAATGTCTTTTCTGTTCACCAAATGCTTTTTAGTATTCGCTATTACTTCAATGCAAGTGAACAAGCGCGCCGTTATGTGTTGCTCAGTGACGTGTGTGTGTTCAAGTACGCCAGAAATGAGCAGATTCTGCACAATACACTATTTAATATATCATGAGGACTCACGAGTTGCGTATTTGCACTAAATCCGCACAGATTTGGCTTAAACGATCTTCCCCAGCAAAGTGAGTAAACACAGAAACACGTCAGACTGGCTCGTGATTTGTCAGCGTTTCCCGCCAAAGCTCACTTTTACCTGCATTCGGCGGGTCGAGGGTGTTAATCTCAATGCTTGTCATTGTGCACGAAACTTCACGCCAATAAATCATCAGAAATATTGCTGACTTGTGCGTCTCAAGCGCCCTCTTTACGCTCGTCCTAACGCCTGTTAGGTGTCCGTGGATTTGCCGATATTTGATGTTGAAAATGGAAACGTCTTTAGAAATGGAAAATCGATTTTACAATCGATTCATTAGCCGCGTTTCCACTACCGGGCAAGGGCCGAGCCGTGCTAGTGCGTGCCAGGGCCAGTCGCGTTTCCACTGTCACTTCCGGGGCTTGATCGGGGCTTACTCTGGGCCAACGGCCAGGATTTCTGGCCCGTCGAATACCTTGGGCCAAAGCGGGCCAGCTCGGGCTAGAGGCGTGCTCAAGGTAAAAGGCGGAGTTTATCGGTGTTATGGAACGTTATGATCTGAAGCAAGATGCACATTTTCACAAACATGCACACTTCCCAAATTCCATGGTTCGACTTGATGGACGGTGTGCTGGGTCACCGTGTGCTGGGTCACCATCGGTGTGCTGGGTCACCGTGTGCTGGGTCACCATCGGTGTGCTGGGTCACCGTCCCTCTGTTAGTGGCGACTCGCGAGACAATCTGGACACTATTGCAGGCTTCAGCCACGGCCGGTGAGTTAATATACATGCTATCTTCCTAACTTAAAAAATAAATAAATTCATAATACCCGCTGAAATGGGTTGGGTTGTATGTATGACGTTTGATCCAGAAAGGCCTGTTAGGGGCGGGGTTTAGGGCAGCGCTGCGGGGCTACTGGCTCGGCTCGCTGTTAGCCCTGGCCCGGCCCTGGCCTGGCAGTGGAAACGCGGCTAATGAACATTTACTGTATGTCTCAAAAATCGAATAGGATTTTTTCACAAAAGTGACAGCCCTACAAATGAATCGAAGCAAAGTCAGCAGTGTTAAATTACACAGTGTAAATGTAACACTAAAGCAGTGCTGTAGAATTTAATAAAATGTTCACTCTAAGGGTGCGTTTACACGACAACAATATGCTTAAAGGGGTCATATAATGCCATTTTTGTACAATCTAATATGATTCTTTAGGGTCTAAATTAAAAGTTTGTAATATACTTTAATTAAAAATTCTCATTAGTATTATAAGAAAACACTTATTTTACCTGGTCAAAAACAGCTCTGTTTTCAGCACGCCGTTTCAGTGCATATGCCTTTAAATGATCATGAGCTCTGCTCACCCCGCCTCTCTGTTCTGCGCGTACACGTTTGTAACACAATAACCATAACGCATTGTTCATTATAAACGTGGGATTATGAATTATATGGAGAACGTCGTACATAGAAAACATGCAGTAATGTACCCTGAGTGTAAACCTTAGACGCATTCATTGTGAAGCGATTTGCAAAGATATAAATATTAATATAAAGGATAATAAAACGTTACACTCACTTGTTGTTCTAGAGGTTCAGCAGGAACACGAATATCTGGTACCGATCCTTTATTCAGGAGCAGCTTCTTAGCAAAACCAGCTTTATACTGACCCTCGTTTATAAAGCAGTCTGCTCCTACAGTAGTCACATTCAAATCCAGACTCAAAACACTTCTGTTTAGCTATGCATTTACTGAATGAGCACTGTGCCACAGTTCGTCCGACTGTTTTTACTGTACTTTATTTTATTTTTTATTCTAAACTGTTTTAATTATTTCCTCCTATGTAAAGCACTTTGAATTACCATTGTGTATGAAATGTGCTATATAAATAAACTTGCCTTGCCTTGCCTTGCTGAGAAATGATTCGCGCAAACATGAGAGCAGTGACGTTGCTCGTGGGGAATATTCCCTTCGAAAACAAACTCAGCCACTGCGTCTTCAGCGGTTCGGATTTAGGAACATTAAAATGACTGTGTTCGTTATTGCACCCAAGAACAGAACACCACAATCGCTTAGAGCCATTCTGCTCATAGACAGTGCTCCAGCATATCAACAATGACCGCGCCGGTCCACGCAGACTATGATTGACAGCTCTCACGAGCGAGGGCGGGTCTGTGTTGAAACGCGTCTGTCAATCAACAATCGTGGGAGGGGCGTCAGATCTGTGACGTCACACGGTCGAACGGCTCGATTTGAGGCAGGGGAAAACATATAAGGAGATTAAAACAAAACCACTGGATGGATTTTTATCATTATATGATGGTTGTGTACAGGCACTGCCAACACACATTTCAGTACAATCAACTTGTAAAAGTGCATGTACCATTATATGACCCCTTTAAAAAAGGAGTTTTCTGCGCACAGACGACACCATCATCAAAACGATCCCCGTTCACATGGATCTGGAAAAACGACTAAAAGCGCTGTATTCTGCTGCCAGGCCAGTAGAGGGCGATGAACACGTGACTGAACACATGATACGCATGTGCATGACGTCATCGTCTTCAGAGATTCACGGTTTTGTCATTTACACGGAGATCGTTTTAAAAAACTTGCAATTTGAAACCCGTTTTGTGTTTTCAGGCGCCCAAAACAGCGCTGGCGTGTAAACGATAGGCCAAAACGCATAAAAGGTTTTACGTTTTTAGTTGAAAGCGGTGTCGTAAACAGCCCCTGAGAGTGATGATTGAACATTAGTCACGACACCTGCTGTGAACAAGCACGATCCCTGAAGGAAAGAGGAGGAATGGATACAGTGTAATTTAATACAGCTGATTTTGCAGAGTTGCTTTTACTCACAGGTTGAATGTCGACGAAGCTGCGCTTCATTTCCGCATATGTTGGACGCACAATTTTCTCATTTGTGCGATATGGCGATGATGGCAGGATGACAGGAAGGCAATTTAAGGCAATTTCTCCACGAACATCTTTGAACGACAAGTTTACAGAGGAAACACATCAGAAAAAAAGTTAAGCTTGCAGTTGGCAACCATAGAAGAGCATTTGTGCTTAAAAAGTATATAAATGTGTATTTTGTTATAAATGTCCGCTGGTTTGTCTAGATAAGACTCTTATTCCTCGGCTGGATCGTGTCGAGACTTTGAAGCTGCACTGAAACTAGTGATGAGTGAGTAACTGTGTAAGTGATGTTACGTTCGTGAACGAATCGTTCTTTTTGAACGAATCTTTTAGGTGAACGAATCGTTCTCGTAATCCATTGAGTCATATGTCTCGTTCACTGAAATCCCTCCCTCCGCGCAGCGCATGCACAGCTCAGTGAACCGGGTATCTCTGTGGACTTTTTCAAAGAATGACTAAACCTCGAGCCGATAGCCTTCGAGTATGAGATGTGACGGAGCATGTGATTTGTTGTATGTAGTGAACGAATACGCCCTTCACTGACCGAGATCGCTCTGTTTTGAGTCTGAACGAGAGAGATCTCGTTCGTGAACGAATTGAACGAACTGGTACATTTCGTTCGTGAATGAAATGAATGAGAGTACCGGGTAGATCTGTCATTTAGCATGTGATTCAATCTCATTCAGCAATCAGCAGAAAGGGCATGCAAGGCGCAGTTATCGTGTGCACATACGATAGTTTATATTCATATTTAACATAACTCAACGTTTAATATAATCCTAGATTTATGAATGTGTATGTCTGACCAAATAATCAAAATGTTAATTATCCAAGAAAACCTTGTGCTTTGGTCATCTGAACCACTTATTTAGACTTATTTTATTAATTTAGTAAATTAGGCACACATTTTAACAAAGCCAAATCATTTTTTTTGTTACAAGTAAATACGCCCATTGACTTAAGACAGCACAAGAGACACTCTTTTTCACCCCCTGCTGGAGTATTTTTGTAATATGAAGAAATTGTCACTGAACGAATCATTTTGGTGAACGAACTGAAAATGAACGAGTCTCTGGAAAGAATAAAAATTTCCACCACTAACTGAAACTGACATTTGGACCTTCGACCCCCATTGAAGTCACTAAATGGAGAAACATCCTGGAGTGTTTTCCTCAAAAAACATTTATTTTTGACTGAAGAAAGAAAGACTTGAAAATCTTGGATGATGTGGGGGAGAGTAAATTATCAGGAAATTTTAATTCTGAACTGAACTACTCCTTTAACCCTAACTTCTTGTGCAGTTACTGAAAATTCAACCACTTAGACCCTCAGTCAACCAGTCAGAACACAATGGTACTCTGTGTGTGATTTTAATAGGACGTCCTACCTATTGGCAGTGTTTCCAGATTCTCTGGAAGGACGTCAGAAGCCTTGGGTTCTTTTTTTGTGAAAAGTAAAATCCGGTCAGTGAAGATAGGAGCCCAAAATTCATAAAGGCGGTCAGCATGGTCAGGGAATACAACTTCAAAGTCCTGTAATATCTAGATAAAAACAACAACAATAATGCTAGATTGCAAGTAACAATATAATAGGATGAAGCATTTTTGTTTTCTAAATTAATGTAGGATTTCTACTACAGGCTATAACAACCCTTCAGAAAACTGTACTCACCATTCCAGGAGAGTCGTGAAGTCTGGGATATTCTGCATTGATTTCTTCTATGGTTTTTGTTCCATGTGATCGAATCCATGCGGCTCGATGAGGGGCTGTGTGTCTCATGAACTCCATGACTTGGCTGTGAGGGCTTCTATTGTTCTTCAGCCACTCAATCATTGTTTGGATGACGGTCGAAGACAACTGTGACTCTATTGAAGTTAAAACACATTAAAATGAGGGAAAAAAGGTACTTGCCTGACTGCATTGTGCCAAGAGTAAAGTTTGGTGGAGGGGGGATTATGGCGTGAGGTTGTTTGGTGGAGGGGGAATTATGGCGTGGGGTTGTTAGGTGGAGGGGGGATTATGGCGTGGGGTTGTTTGGTGGAGGGGGGATTATGGCGAGGGGTTGTTTTGTGGAGGGAGGATTATGGCGTGGGGTTGTTTGGTGGAGGGGGGATTATGGTGTGGGGTTGTTTGGTGGAGGGGGGATTATGGTGTGGGGTTGTTTGGTGGAGGGGGAATTATGGCGTGGGGTTGTTAGGTGGAGGGGGGATTATGGCGTGGGGTTGTTTGGTGGAGGGGGGATTATGGCGAGGGGTTGTTTTGTGGAGGGAGGATTATGGCGTGGGGTTGTTTGGTGGAGGGGGGATTATGGCGAGGGGTTGTTTTGTGGAGGGGGGATTATGGTGTAGGGTTGTTTGGTGGAGGGGGGGATTATGGCGAGGGGTTGTTTTGTGGAGGGGGGATTATGGTGTAGGGTTGTTTGGTGGAGGGGGGATTATGGCGTGGGGTTGTTTGGTGGAGGGGGGATTATGGCGAGGGGTTGTTTTGTGGAGGGGGGATTATGGCGTGGGGTTGTTTTGTGGAGGGGGGATTATGGCGAGGGGTTGTTTTGTGGAGGGGGGATTATGGTGTAGGGTTGTTTGGTGGAGGGGGGATTATGGCGTGGGGTTGTTTTGTGGAGGGGGGATTATGGCGAGGGGTTGTTTTGTGGAGGGGGGATTATGGTGTAGGGTTGTTTGGTGGAGGGGGGGATTATGGCGAGGGGTTGTTTTGTGGAGGGGGGATTATGGCGTGGGGTTGTTTTGTGGAGGGGGGATTATGGCGTGGGTTTGTTTGGTGGAGGGGGGATTATGGTGTAGGGTTGTTTGGTGGAGGGGGGATTATGGGGTGGGGTTGTTTGGTGGAGGGGGGATTATGGTGGGGTTGTTTGGTGGAGGGGGGATTATGGTGTGGGTTGTTTGGTGGAGGGGGGATTATGGTGTGGGGTTGTTTGGTGGAGGGGGTATTATGGGGTGGGTTGTTTGGTGGAGGGGGGATTATGGTGTGGGGTTGTTTGGTGGAGGGGGGATTATGGCGAGAGGTTGTTTGGTGGAGGGGGGATTATGGTGTGGGGTTGTTTGGTGGAGGGGGGATTATGGTGTGGGGTTGTTTGGTGGAGGGGGGATTATGGTGTAGGGTTGTTTGGTGGAGGGGGGATTATGGCGAGGGGTTGTTTTGTGGAGGGGGGATTATGGCGTGGGGTTGTTTTGTGGAGGGGGGATTATGGCGTGGGTTTGTTTGGTGGAGGGGGGATTATGGTGTGGGGTTGTTTGGTGGAGGGGGGATTATGGCGTGGGGTTGTTTGGTGGAGGGGGGATTATGGTGTGGGGTTGTTTGGTGGAGGGGGGATTATGGCGTGGGGTTGTTTGGTGGAGGGGGGATTATGGCGTGGGGTTGTTTGGTGGAGGGGGGATTATGGTGTGGGTTGTTTGGTGGAGGGGGGATTATGGCGTGGGTTGTTTGGTGGAGGGGGGATTATGGCGAGGGGTTGTTTTTCATGGGTTGGGCTTGGCCCCTTAGTTCCAGTGAAAGGAACTCTTAATGCTTCAGCATACCAATACATTTTGGAGAATTTCATGCTCCCAACTTTAAAGGGAACAGTTTGTGGATGTTCCTGTTCCAGCATGACTGCGCTCCAGTGCACAAAGCAGGTCCATAAAGACATGGATGAGCGAGTTTGGTGTGGAGGAACTTGACAGGCCTGCACAGAGTCCTGACCTCGACCCGATATAACACCTTTGGGAATGAATTAGAGTGGAGACTGCGAGCCAGGCCTTCTCATCCCAACATCTGGTGCTGGTTGAGGAGAGAACCCCTGATATGATTGTAAAGCGCTTTGGGTGTACAGTAGTACATATGAAAGCGCTATATAAATGCCTCATTCATTCATTCATTCATCTGTGCCTCAAAAAGTCCCATAGACACAATCCTAAACCTTGAGGAAAGGCTTCCCAGAAGAGTTGAAGCAGTTTTAGCTGCAAAGAGTTTGATCAACCCCATATTAAACCCTACTGATTAAGAATGGGATGTCATTAAAGTTCATGTGCATGTAAAGGCAGACGTCCCAAAACATTTGGCAATATAGTGTATATAGTGAATGGATCTATTAGGCTATGCTATACACTATGTGCAAAAAATATCAAAATATAAACATTACATTTTAAACCAAAAAACAGACGATTACTTTACATCTTGAGGTTAAAATCCCTAAATTAAAAATGATAAAAACAATTTTAATCTATTTTAACAACATGATATTTGAAAACTAAGGTGAAGATTATCAGTCAAGCTTTAGTGTGTCCCTTACATAAAGCTACCGCATGACTGCAGAGGACCTGGGATACAGATGCTCAGATATTCTGCCTAAGATCTGGTGTCGTTTTTCACTAAAGACATGAAACAACACTGAGTTGGAATGGCATAGGAGATAGAAGTAGCTCAAACAGTAGAGCGTTGGTGCTTGCAACGCCAAGGTCATGGGTTCGATTCCCAGGGAAAGCAAGAACTGATAAGAATGTAAATGTGTACCTTGAAATGCAATGTAACTCGCTTTGGATAAAAGCGTCTGCCAAATGCATAAATGTAACTATCCCTTTCATTTTACAGTAATTATAGAGTTTTATGCCGTGCAAATTGTCTAAACAGCTAACGTACCAGCATTCTCTCTGCACACTAAAACCCTTTGCATATAAACACCCATCCCTAGCACGAACCTGGCAGTGGAAAACTGGGTCGGGAAGAGGAATTCTGGGATGGCTGTGGATTGCTGTGCTGTCTCTGGCCTCTCAGACGTTTCCTCACGTTGCGGAGTCTTTCTTCTAGATACCCGGTTGCAGGGTGACGATAGCGACAAGGTGTATACCACACCTCCTGCAACAAAACACATAATAAACCACTGTCATAATAAAGCAGGGACTAATTCTCCTTATCAGCCCTTGATTATCTTTTAATCAGAATGTGTCAGCACAACTTACATATCCGTATCCCTCATTGCTTTTCAGACAAGGAAACTGGACAGTTATTGCCAAAGCCATCTCCTTTTTGATCTCGGCTGTTGGGCTATACAAAGAAACATGAATATGAAACGCTCATATAGGCCAGTTTATTAATTCATCTCCACTGGTCAGGTGATTTTATCATTTAATAGTTCTACTCACGTTTCCCCAAACCTTTCCATCAAATGAGAAACCAACAACCGCACCATCTGACGTCGCTCCTTGAGGCTTAGGTGCCTGTCTCTGTCTAAAGATGATATTAACGCCGATCCTCCAGAATTGCTCAGTATTTCTCGTATATCCTGTGAAAAGAAGAACATTCAATTTGTTCTGAAGTATAATAAAACAATTACCAAAATTTAAGTTCAAGTGTATCAAAAGACGTGCTATTACAAAGGTTGAGTTGCTTGATCTTGTTTGGCAGCTTTCCAGTACTATCTGTGCTGGGGTCGGTGGGTCATTCCTCACAGGTGATTGATTGTTGACAGAGCTATTGCCCAGAGACTGTTTAAAATAAAATTAAAATAAAAGTAAATATCAGACGTTATCAGCAATGCAATGACAACGATGTGTAGCTGTAATGAAGATTCTTTAGTGCAGCTATGCAGAATTAGGCCCTGTCCCATTTCTCCCCCCTTAAAACTTCCACTTGGTTTTGAGTGCCCTCGAAAGTAAAGTTCCCTCAACGAGGGAAGTGGGGTTGAAGATCTTTCCCTATGAAATGGGACACCACTATATGCAAATTAGCGCGGCAATCCTCAATACGTCACGCGCAGCGTCAAAGTGTCTACTACTTCTACTACTATTTTCATTCATAAAATTGCCGGTTCCAGTTGTTGTGTTGCCTGTTGTGTGGGCTGTTTGTTTCGTTTATCTACATCTGATGAATCAACAGAGAAGACATGTGGAATATAGAAGACGCATTTCCGGTAATTTTGCCATATATTTGTTTGTATCTGATCGTTTAGAAGCGCACACAAAACCCAAAGTTTGCTTGTCTAACGTTAGTTGCAATCCGTTTCCGAACGCGCGCGCGCCGCCATGGGAACCGGGGCAACGTCTCTTGCGCGGATCATTGTGCTTTTAGTAGCTGTTTTTACCACCAACGTCCCGCAATTAAGAAACCGCAGACACTGCACTTTACAACAATCACCGATTGTGCTCAGTGCTGATTCTGACGTTAGGTTTGGGTTTAGAGAGAAATGACAGCGCGCTGTGAAGGGAAGATGATGCGCTAGACGAACGCGGCTAGTTTTGAATAATTTTACCTCACATATCTTCTTTTTATAATCCTTGGAAGCCAAAATCGAAAATAAAATTAGATTAACTAACTTACCCAGATCAGATGTATATTTGATTTGCTTTTGAAGCACTCGGCAGATATCATATGAACATCGTCAGATAGCTTCGTGAAATATTTTCTAACATTAGTGTTGAAAACTCAACAGTCCATTGGATGTGCATCAAACTAACATATTCCAACATATTTCGACATTTTAACATGCGTATTTGCGAAAATATACTTAAAATAAAATTGTTCCTTTCCAGCGGTGTCCGCCATCTTAGTTGAAAAATTTGACCGGCTCGCTGAGTTCGCAAGGTATCCTGGGTAATTTCATCTTCCACTTCGTTTTAAGCCTGCATCGGACCGCACTATGTTTTGAGGGTTGATTTTAAGGGGAGAATAGCACTCCCCCTTGCTCTTTGGAGTATTGGGACACCCTACCCCTACACGAGAACGCGCAAAAACAAGGGTTAGGGCAGAAATCTAGGGTAAGGGGAGGTATTGGGACGCAGCCTTAGTCTCACCCTTTCCAATCTTCCAAGCTACCTATAATATCATATCATATCGATCACAAGTTCAGTATGGAGTACCTCAAGGCTCAGTACTAGGACCGTTGCTGTACATGCTCCCCTTGGGAGATATCATTAGGAAGCATGGCATTAGCTTTCACTGTTACGCTGATGAAGCTCTATATTTCTTTGTGCCCCGACGAAACTTATCAATTCACAAAATTAGCTGCTGATATAAAAAATTGGTGACTAGTAATTTCCTGCTACTTAATTCTGAAAAATTCTAATGATTGGACCAAAAACCTCTGCATGTTATACCCTAGATTAGAATACTGTCTAACACTTGATGGCTGCTCTGTCAAGTCTTCGCCGTCGGTTAGGAACCTGGGTGTGCTGTTTGATACCAATCTTTCATTTAAAAGCCACATTTCTAGCATCTGTAAAACCACATTCTTCCATCTTAAAAATACGACATCTGCACTCAGTGACAAATGTAGAACAGTTAGTTCATGCGTTCCTGACCTCATGGCTAGATTACTGTAATGCTCTACTGGGTGGTTGCCCTGCACGCTTAATAAACAAACTACAGCTGGTCCAAAATGCAGCAGATCAAGTTCTTACCAGAACCAGGAAGTATGACCATATTAGGGCGGTTCTATCAACACTGCATTGGCTCCCTATTAAACATTGTATACATTTAAAAAAAAAATTGCTAATTACTTACAAAGCAATAAAGGGTTTAACTCCCCAGTACTTGAGCGAGCTCTTCATGCATTATCGTTAGTGCTGGGCAACGATTAAAAAATTTAATCGCGATTAATCGCATGATTTTCTTGCGATTAATCGCGATTAATCGCATTGTTACGTGCAAAATTGAATAATGAATTCTAAAGTAGTGTATTGCGCACTTTTGATTTAAATGTACTGCTACAAAAGTGCAATAACATGTGGTTTGCAAAAACTTTAAACAAATAAGGTGATTTTATACCAGCAGTATTCCCTTTACACAGTATCAATAAAATATTTCTTGTAAATCTCAACTTAAACATTAACGTAATCAAATATTTAAACAAAGCTATTTGCCACTACCTTTTATCTAGCTTGTTAAAACGAGTCCAGTTTTCTTTTTTTTTTCTTTTTTTCTGAACAGGTATTTTGTATCAGGGAGCAGCAGAAACAGTCTATGTAGTCAAAGGGTCATGATCACTACTACAGATATAAGTCGACCAACGTTACTTCTCTGATAGCAGCTTAGGTTTGGTCATGGCATGCCATGGTTTCCCACATAAGATTACATTAAACAGAGGTAGCTGTGTAGCGCGCGTACCCTGACGTGCATCTCTCCAAAAATGTAACGTCAATTCTACGCGTACCGCAAGCGCTGTGATTGCTAGAACCGCTCCCCGGGTTTCACACTCTCCCTCTGCATGTGTAATTGCGCGTCAACGCGGACAACGACGCAGATATATAAATGAAAACCAACGCGTAGTCTATAGCGTAGAGGCTCCTGCATAGGTCCGACGCAGAAGTATAAATCAGCCTAGAGTGAGGTGAAGTGGTCGAGCACAGGTGCAGCGACAAGCGGGTGCGTTCCTGTGAAACTGTTGCGGTCATGCTCGCCTCACGCACGCGCCCGCGCGTTGCCGAAGTTGAATAGTCTAACTTTTTGTACACGACGCGCAGCACAAATCATTGGAAGAGAGACTGATCCTCGGCTCGCTGTTTGTGAGTTTCCAGAATCTAAATAGTTATCAGGACATCAACAGGAGGGAATTCACATGGCAGAGCATCCCCGCTAAACTAAACGCAGGCCTATCAGGTAAAGTTATGTTTAATTTTAATTTAAGTTAAAAAGGCTACAGCTGCGTAGCGCACAGAAGCCGTTGCCATGGTTACTATCCATAGAGCGCCTGTCATTCACTCGCGGAGCGCTGTCTCCCTTTCTGTTCACCTGAGAGAACCTGCCAAAGCCTCTCCACTGCTTGTTTGGGTGGGTTATTTGCTGGCTGACCAACATCCCACCCCTCCTGTGATCATGGTTTGACTGTAGGCCTATGTGTATTCAGAGCCAGTGAGCAACGGACTTTCAAAATAATAATAATAAAAAAAACTGCATTAACGCGCGATAAAAAAATTGTCGGCATTAATTAATAAATGCGTTAACGCGATAATAACGTGTTAACTTGCCCAGCACTAATTCTCGTCCTTCACGTTTATGGTCCTCAAAATTCTGTCCAGTTGATAATAACTAGAATATCAAAATCAACTTCAGATTGGTAGATCCTTTTCCTTTTTAGCACCTAAACTTTGGAATAGTCTTCCTAACACTGTTCGGGAAGCAGACACACTCTGTAAGTTTAAATCTAGACTAAAACCCATCAGCAAATTCCCTATCCAGCACATCATTGTACTCACCATTCCAGGAAAGTCGTGAAGTTTGGGATATTCTCCATTGATTTCTTCTATGGTTTCCGTTCCAGGGGATCGAATCCATGCGGCTTGATGAGGTGCTGTTTGTCCCATGAACTCCATGACTTGGCTGTGAGGGCCTCTATTGTTCTTCAGCCACTCAAGCATTGTGTGAATGTCAGTCGAAGACAACTCTGACTCTATTGAAGTTAAAACACATTAACATAAAATCATGAACATCTGGCAACCACAAGCAGGAATGATAGTGGAGGCTTATTAATGCAAGATAACAGAGGAAAAAGAGAGCCGAATGAGAGTGAGTCGGACTCACAGATCAGCAGCAGGAGTCAGATTTCATTTATCACATGACGAGAGGCGAGGCGAGCTGATTGACAAGACGATGGCGGAAGATTTGTTTTCAAAGCTAAATGTAAAAGTGCCTATTTGGCAATATTCTGGATTTAAACCCAATGCTAATATTGAACCTGCAAACATTATTGAGGCAATCTGTAAAATGTGCCTGATAAAGGTGGCAGCACCTGGAGATAACGCTTAATTTACACACACCTTTAAGCGCAAAAACAAATTCACACAAACATTGTGTCGACATGCCAGTCTTGGCGAGTATCCTAGCAAACCATAAGTATGTCTTTAGTGAACATAAACAGCTGAGAAAGACAACGCATGTGTAACAGTAGCAGTGTACTGGACCAGTGCAATATGTCTTAAAGTGACAACAGCCTAATATTCTATGTTTTTACTGTTAACAAAACAAAAGCAAATCACTCACTGCTCTTAATTGAATAGCTTTTGTAACTTTAATAAGAATTAATCTTTAATGTAAACAGTCAAATATGCAATGCTATTTTACATTTGATTAATTTATTCAATTTATGTTCCTGAAAACTAATGTGAAACCTACCTGGAAAACAGTTTATTTTATTTGTATCTTTGCTACTTTGTATTTATTTGTGCTGTTCCTTGCCAAGATTATTTGTTCTTGTTTTATTTATTTTTATTTGATCCTTTTTTCCCTGAACATAGCACTAAAACCGTGATACAAACCGAACCGTGAGTGATTTGAATCATTACACCCCTAATATACACATATATATACACACACACACACCCATCCCTAGTTCGTACCTGGCAATGGAAAACTGGTTTGGGAAGATGAATTCTGGGATGGCTGTTTCCTCAGACGTTTCCTCACGTTGCGGAGTCTTTCTTCTAGATACCCGGTTGCAGGGTGACGATAGCGACAAGGTGTATACCACACCTCCTGCAACAAAACACATAATAAACCACTGTCATAATAAAGCAGGGACTAATTCTCCTTATCAGCCCTTGATTATCTTTTAATCAGAATGTGTCAGCACAACTTACATATCCGTATCCCTCATTGCTTTTCAGACAAGGAAACTGGGCAGTTATTGCCAAAGCCATCTCCTTTTTGATCTCGGCTGTTGGGCTATACAAAGAAACAAGCATATGAAACGCTCATATAGGCCAGTTTATTAATTCATCTCCACTGGTCAAGTGATTTTATCATTTAATAGTTCTACTCACTTTTCCCCAAACCTTTCCATCAAATGAGAAACCAACAACCGCACCATCTGACATCGGTCCTTGAGGCTTAGGTGCCTGTCTCTGTCTAAAGATGATATTAACGCCGATCCTCCAGAATTGCTCAGTATTTCTCGTATATCCTGTGAAAAGAAGAACATTCAATTTGTTCTTAAACATAATAAAATATCAGCCTAAAATTTAAGTTCAAGTGTATCGAAAGACGTGCTATTACAAAGGTTGAGTTGCTTGATCTTGTTTGGCAGCTTTCCAGTACTATCTGTGCTGGGGTCGGTAGGTCATTCCTCACAGGTGATTGACTGGGACATGATTGATTGTTGACAGAGCTATTGCCCAGAGACTGTTTAAAAGAGGGAAAAGAATGTAAATATCAGACGTTATCAGCTATAAACTGTAGATCCTTCAGTGCAGCTTTGCAGAATTTTTGCAGTCATGAAAGCTTATCGTTAGCTTGCGTTAAACAAAACAAAACAAAAAAAAGAGAAAATGTCTCACTGCTCTTGATTGAATCACTTTAGTAACTTTAATAAGATTAAATGTATATTTACCATAGTAAAGACTATGCAGTTTTTTATACATTTGATTAGCCTAATTTTTATGTAGTATTTCTAGTTCTTGAAGTTTGTCAGGTATGTCTTTTCATGCGTCTAATATGTTCTATTGAAGTTTGTTTTCTTTGCTCTTTCTTTATCAGTGTTTACTTGTCTTCAGTAAGCAGAGTTTTTTTCAGGTGAGTATTAGTTTTTTTTTAATTATATAATTTTTTTTGATAATTATGAAATTTGTGATCTAAGCTTTTGATCATATCGCCCACCCCTAATGCACCAACAACCAAGTGCTTCCAAAACTTGGTCAGGAACAACAGCTGAGAGCACAGCATCATTGGGCGCCTGTATGCCACACAGGACAAGCAGAACGGAGAGTTGTTTAGACACGGGTGGCTGGTCATTCGAGGGCACTGGTATTCTAGCATTTATTTTAAAGAACAGGCTGCAATGGTGCTGTTGGACTGCCATCTGTCTCTCGCTGCCAGTTAATGCATCCAAACGCTCGACATATGAAATGCATGGAAACGGCAAAGTCTCTGACTAAATGAAACCCCTGTTTTAGCAGTAGTTCAGCTGCTCCCTCAAATTGATTGTTTATGGTACTGACATTAGGATGATCTGAGTGAGCAGATTCAGATTATTTTATTTAATGCCATGTCAGCATTCAAAGCTATTTTCATGGCAAAAAATCCATTACAAAAATACAATATCATATAAATACAATAAAAAACAAATACAAAAATAGCAAGTCATATTATACAAGATTTTTTAAATTAACATATGATTAAAAAAAAATCTAAAACCACCGTTTCAGGCATAATCTTATTAAATATGTCCTTAAGTGAAGTAACTTCATAAAAGAGCATTCTGTATTAAGTCCAGGACAATCCAATAAAAAATGTTTGACAGATAAGGGAATCTCACAAAACATGCATAAAGTTGTGTCTTCACCTTTAAGTGAAAAACCATGGGTCAAACTTATGTGACCCATACGACATCTGGCGTAGACCACTTGATTCTGAGTGAGCAAGTCGATGTAGAAGAGCTATTTACAATATCAGTGATCAAAGTAGCGGTTTACTTCACCGTGTAATTAATTGGTGGCTGTGTTGGAATATGTTGATTGTGCAAATGATCTGTTGTGGATGATGACTGTTTGACACATTTTAATATGCGTCTCCTCTATGATCATAAGAAATTGAATGTTCTGCATTTGTATAACATCGTGTTAATGTCATCAAATTTGGATGTGCAAAAAGTAATTCTGTTTTTCCCCAAACCTGACTGACTGCACTTGAAACATGTGATCAAAAAAGCTGTTGTTTGTTTAGTGAGTGTAAACTTACTCCCAGAAGTTCTGAATGATATTTCTTGAATTTAACCCTGAAACCAATTCTTGGAATTAGAGCGGCGATGCTGGCGTCGTCCAGTAGCATGAAACTTTCCTCATCCACTCCTTCCTCTGTGTTAAGATGAACAAGAAAAAGAACATGTGTTGTGTGTGTCCTAGTGCATTATTTCCCTTCTTAAATAATTTGATAAATTCATGTCATATATCACTTTATCCTATAAAACCTATTTGGTTTGAAATCATTTTTAGTACATTTAAATAATACATATTTTATGTTTTGTTATCTTATTTACCTTAATGAAATGTTATTTAACCTAAACTTGTTTAAACACATTGTTCATGACTCAAAAATATGCAGATCTGTTTTGAAAATATATATTTTTAAAACACCTTTTTTTAAGCTTTACATGTCAATGACCCATTAATGACTAATTTAAATAGCTTACCTTGAAATGTTTCAATTAAATGGCAGAGGTTCCACTGCTGTAGTCTTTCCTTCACATAGGAATCCATTTCTCTAAAACATAAGTACACACATTTAGTACAACACATTATAAATGCAAAAACAGCAGTAGTTTTATAAGAAAAATGATTAAGGCTATTGGCTATTCCACTTCTGTAATACATTTATTAACAGTTAACGTTACATTCATGACAATATATCAATTGTAGTGGCACCAGTACAAAAATAGCAGTCCGGAATATAGTAAATATGGCGTAATGCTATAGGCTACAATGATTTTATTGACCTACTTAGTTTATCGACATTCATCATGTAAGCAGCCATTAATATTGTTAACTTTAATATACATCTAAATTGTTTGATTAGTCTTTTTACTCTATACTGCTAGCGAGCTAACTGTGATAATACAATCGATAGAGGACAACAAAACTGACTCACAACTTAATGATACAAAATGTAAGTCTCAATAGACAATACTTAATGTTATAATAATACATCATAAAACGATACGACTTACCTTTTACATTCATGTATATCGTTGACTGTCACTCGACCGTTAAAATTCGAACCGTCGCCGCGGGAACCGTATTTAACCCAAAAGCTGGGTTGTTACTAAATATAACCCAACAATGTAAAGTTAACCCAGCAGTGACCCAGTTTGTGTAACCCAGTGGTTGGGGTTAAAAAACAAAAACCTAACGTTTATTTTAAGCGTTATAAAGTAAATTAACTGGAAAATGCTGTGTCGTCATGAAAGCCTTACAACCCCCCGCGGGAATAGTGTATTTTTGTGAAGAAGAACGATAGGAACAGAACGGCTTCTTCTTCTGTGGGTTTAATGGCGGGTCGCACACCAGCTTTGGGCGCATACCGCCCCCTCCCGTGAGTGAGAGTGAAGTGATGAGACCTACTTTATACAGTGAGTCTATAGATGAGATACAGTCTCTTGAAGAGTGTTGGTGGCCAGACAGTTAACAGCAGCCACTTCTATAGTATTTGTTTTTCTACTATAGAAGTAAATGGCTACCGTCAACTGTTTGATTAACAACGTTCTTTAAAATATCTAATTTTGTGTTCAACAGAAGAAGATACTCGTTTAGGTTTGGAACAACACAAAATGTTCATTTTTTGGTGAGCCATCCCTTTAAGTCCATTATTCTTAGTGCGTTATACGTCAGGTTAACTAAATAACCAAGGAGGTATTATTGGGGAAACTGTAACTGTTGATGAAAATGTTATATTATTTAATGATATTCCATGAAAAACATATTCCTGCTAAGTTTGTTGTCTCCCAACTCTATTATTGTTTTTTCTTCTATTATTGGTCTGTTTTATGCCCTTGTACATTGATCCAGTATGCTACATATCATTTTTGACGTCTTATGTCTATTGGAGACTCTCCTGGCTCAACATGGCTGAAACTGGAGTTGTTTGAATTGCACCTGTAATATGAATAAAATCTGACTTCATAAGTGATGCAGATCCATATATCCATATACTACTACATCTATAGTCCACAACAGACCAAAGAAGAGTAGGGTATGGCGATCACTGATTGTTTGTCCCCATTCGTGGCTTACTAAACATAGGTTTAGTGCTTTGCTGCATTTCTGTTCGATATTGACATGATTTTCTGATGTTAATATTGACTATATGGAACGTGCTTGAGAACTTCTGCAATAATATAAGCCACTATATATGACAATATATGTCACTTGTTGTTGGTGTGTCGTTATCTTCAATGTCCTGAGGAAGCTTTAACAGCATTAATAGTGTAATACTTAGTTTATGTAAAGCCTAGCAAATGTAAAATGACATAAAAAAGACCCGTTCCTCAGTGTTCCTTCTCAGCAAAATTCAATTCGACCATCAGTTTTCACACTTTCATGTGGAAAAAAAGTATAAATTAAAGATTTATTGGGCACTTTAGTTAGATTTATTCAACACAATAAGAGTTTTCTCAAGTGTGCAGAAATCCGAGCACTGACTGACAGCTTCAGTGATTATAAAGGGAGGGAGAGCGCGGTGTTCGCTTTATTGTTTTTCATGAGACTTTGTGAGTACTTCATAAACGTAGTGATTTTATAGTGCTTTTTTTATAGTGACCTAGCGATGTTTCATATCTATTCAAAAGCAAAATGTGTGAAAAAATATACTACATTAATATGAGCCAATAAATGCTCCTCTGCCGCCATCTACTGGTTATAGTGGTAATTAATGTCTTTTTATTTAAACATGTTGGATTTCCTACATCTTGAAACATCCCGTTTCACAAATGGAGACAATCTCAGAAGAATGAAGAAATAATCTTTTTAGTCATCACATTAAAAACAACATTTGAATGGAAAAATGTTGTGTGCATGTTAATTGTGTTTCTTATTCCAACGTTCCCATTCGATTCAATTCTTTATTGCAATCAATAAAACTGGTTAATTGTCAAATTAGGTAAATGTGGTAACTGCATTGAAATATAAATACAACTGTAAATGCCCAATGCGGAAACAAGGACGTGCATATGTTCAATTTAGAGTCAAACTATAGACCTAAATATTTGAGTGAAACTGCTTAATTCACGAACAAGAACAAATGAAGGGCGGGGCTTTATTTCCACGTGGGGGATAGTTGTGGTTTGCTATTGGTTGGTATCATGTGAGTGACAGGTTGCCCCGCCCTCGCACCGAGAAGAGAAGACGCAAGAGGTTATTGTAATTCAAGATTTCGAGGCACATGAAGGAAAAAACAATGATGTGCACTGATAAATTCATAATAAATACGGCAATATTCCATAATTTAAAAAATGGGTCTATTTTGATTTCATGGTGATTTTAAGTTTTCGTTGCATATTGCAGGTGCTTCAAAAATAATTTTGAGCTCATTCGCACCTGCATGCATTTACATTTTAGAGGTGATCATTCCTTATAGTCACACCGCTTGTTTTATTAGATTATGAACCAAATACTAATTAGAGAATTAACCTGCGCGCCACGAGCGTTACATTAAAGGAAAAGCACTCGCGCGCGTACAGTACAGTGCAAAAGAAAACAGTTCGTTTTTGATGAATCTATCTTTATAAGTAAATAATTTAACGCGTGGTTTAAAATATTCCGGTGTCTGATTTGGCCTTTTACTGTATATGGATTTGGCGCGCTTGCCTTTCACACACTCACTTCCCTGTCCCCGCGTCATCGTGACGTCAGTTCCGTGTTATGAACTTCAGCACAGATTTTAGACTCTGCTCAGCACAGCTGCACTACAGCACTTGCACAACTCATTTCCAGCTATTAAAGCATACATACCTGCAGGTCACCCGCGATATTTGGTATGACTTCGCTGACTATGTTTTGGATTAGTCATGCAGCTTCATTTGCAATGTGTTCTTGAATGATGTTATTATAATTGATGATATGATGCTCATGTGTCCAGCAGAAGATGGCAGTGGACTGGTGGGGCTTCGCTTATGCTGCAGCTCTTGCTCTGGGGGGATTCATGGGATATAAAAGAAAAGGTATGAATTGTGCTGTTGTTGTTTTCATGCACCTTTCGAATTGAGCATGTGCAGCTAAATATTGCAGATATGGAGATATTGAATCTAGTGCTGGACTCCCACAGGGAGTGTGGTGTCATTAATCGCTGGACTCTTCTTTGGAAGTGTGTCTGCATACGGAGCCTTTCGGATATCAAATGATCCACAGGATTACTGGACCTCTTTAAGTATAAAAATCCCCCTTCTTTAGAAATACTCAGCAAATGTAGGCCTACTTTACACAGCTTTGAACTTTCTCTTTCATTGCTTTTTCTTATAGTGTCTGCTGGCGTACTTGCAGTTGTGATGGGAATGAGGTTCAGGAAATCTGGGAAATTAATGCCTGCAGGGATCATGGCAGCGCTGAGGTAAAGTGGCATTGTTAACTCTTTCACAGTTACAAATATACTATATTATTGTGTTCAGACGTATCAAAATATGGCTAGTACAGCTTTGAAGTCTTTCAAAACCCTTGAAAACTTTTATTCATGAATTATTGAAATATAGCCTATATGAAATTGGTGTTTAATTTTTTTTATTAAACAATATTTTCATGCAAAATGAATGCGGGAGCCTGTTTGATATAGATAGGCTATATAAAGACATTTCACATGGTTATGAGCGTGATATTCCTCATATAAATATCCAAGTATATGATTCAGCTTAGTTTGAATAGTGATATCTTTGTCGTATCCTTTCATTGGTTAAAGCTGCCAGTCATTGCATGTGCTGCACTTTATACCATTTTGTTTTATTAATAGTTTATTTATCTTAGCTTTTTTAGAATTTGAAAGATAATGATGATATTGTTTGATAAGTGACATCTCTGATTGTAGTCTTCGGAAACCCCCAAAAAAACTAGAGCCTGAAAAGTTCTGCGATTTCATTTTACAGTATCTGCATGAACTTTACATTTGACTTTTCTTCTACATTTATGCAAGAAGTAAAAATCTAGTTGAAAATACCATGTTTCAAGTCATGTTTTCCCCACACTGTTTTTTATTTTACCACATGAACATAAGGAAGACTGATCGAATATTGTCTTTTATTTATATGCTCCATAGTAGTTAAGATCAAAATTATTACTAGAGCAAATACATGTGAAATGAACAGGAGACGTGCAGCTGAGGATCTGTCTGATGTCTGCTCTTATTTCAGCCTCCTGATGGTTTTCCGGATTCTGATCTTCTAAGTGATCACTGGGACCTTCCAGACAACATGTACTGAACAGCTGCGATGTTCATTTCACATTATTATAACTGTATCTTGTACATTCCAAATAAATCTGTCCATGTTCGCGTGTCAGTTTTAATAAAGAAGCTTGTAAGTTAGTTCACTTCTACTTAAAGCCGTGGCTCAACACCTCCTTCACGGTGTTCACGTACACCTCGTCAGGCGGAGGCTTTCTCGCACTGCCCGGCTGCAGGAATTTGCTGATTCTTGGTAAGGCCTTCATTTTCCCCTGGAACGCCTGCGAGACAAATGAAAAATTATATAAAATCATAATCATGCTGCTAAAAAAAAGAGGAATTATGGGTTTGATTCATGGACTGAATCGGTCAGGCAACTCACTAAACTTATTACTGTATATCTGACAATCAAAACTGTGTTTTTTTATTTGTGTTAAATATAAATTTGAAGGTTTAATGAAACTTAACTTCACTCTATTCTGACTGTTTGACTGCCAACGTTTAAAGATACAGACATGCTCACAAAAAGAACTAAAACGTAAGTTGAAAAATGCGGTCCCGCTTTATATGAAGTGTCTTTAACTACTATATACTAACCTTTTAATGAATCATTTGATGCAATGCACTTATTGTGTACACGCATGTTTTTACAGTATTGTACTTATATGTAAAAATACCTGCATTTAATTACATCTGTAATTACACTGGTGACCTCTTGACCTGTATCCTCCTCAACATCAGCACAAGTGTTTTCAACATCAACACTATAAGATCACTGTACCTGATAATTACTTTTTTGATGCAAATACATAGTAGTTAAAGAGACAGAATATAAAGTGTGACCAATAATGGTATTGTTAAGTCCAATTTTGGGGTTGATGGTGTGTGTGGGAAAGCGTGGAACAGATCACCTGGACTTTGGGAAAGGTTGACAGTATTGTAGGGAATAACTCCTGCAGCATCAGAGAGGCTTCCAGAAGATGGACATCAGCGCGGCTCAACTGGTTTCCCACCAGGAAATGAGAGTTTGCAAGACCCTAAAAAAGTCATATTAGTCATATTTATGGATAATAAATGCTTCAAAATACGAGGAATGAATAGTCAGAGCTTTCAATACCTTTTCAAACACAGGGAGGAAGCGCTCTTTTGCCTTTTGCTCTATATTACTGAGACTTTTCTGCTTGTTTTCAGGAGGTGTAAAAGGAGACATCATTAAAAGATCCATTAGATCACTAAGGCCCTCTGCATACATGTCAATCCTAAAGGACAAAAATACAGTGATAATTGCTTAGGTGTGGTGGAAAAACAAGGAATCTTATTTAAAATAACGGATTACTGGAATCTAGTTTCATAACAGTCACGGAACAATTTGCATTAAAAGTTGATATTTACAAAGCCCGTTCTTTAAGGTCTTTTCCGTAGAGGTTGTATTTTCCAGCGATGTAATTCAGGATAGCCCTCGACTGCACAAGCTGCATCCCATCTATCTCAACCAGAGGAACCTGCTGAAACATCAGGGCTCCCTCTGCAACCAACATAGCAATCACATTCATAATAATAATATACATTATGCAATAGTATATACATAAAACAAGAGATGACTGATGAGGAATTTACTGAACTTACCATTCACCAGTTTTTCATAATGCTCCCTCTTGGTCAAAAACACCTCCTCAAACTGTGAACACAAGAACGCATTGATCTCTGTCATATGCAAACAAACTATATTTATTGCGCATGCTTAAGAAACAGTTACATGTAAAGTGTTAATCGAGTTCCACTTGCAAATTGCAACTGCATTTCTTTTTGTATAAGACGTCACGTGGTCAAAAACACCTCCTCAAACTACAAGAACAAAATGAAAGTATTGATCTCGAGATCACATTACAATGCACACATTCAATTTCTAAAGCAGGTGTTTTGTGATCGTCATATGCAAATAAACTACATTTATTAGGAAAAAGTTACATAGGCTATATGTAAAGTGTTAATCGATTTCCACTTCTTGCACCTGCATTTTTTTGATAGACGTGGAGAAGTTTTCCAGAGCAACTAACCTCGACTCCAGCCGCGGCCAAAAGCCATCGGATCGACTCCATTTTCCCTCTTCCATCGAAGTAATGCAACACAACTTTCTCAGACATTTTCACAAAATAAAGCGTCACTTCAGTCCAAAACGTTTTTCTGCGGTGTGTGTGTGTGTGTGTGTGCAGTGCACTGTGCTGGCTGTTTATGTGGACTGTGTTGTGTAATTCGTGGGTGGTGCTGCATCGGGACAAAGGGCTCAAACTTACACCCACTGTCCCACACGCACATCTACAGGAATATTGTTGTGAATATGCTGCTGATATCACTCGAGGCATGTAAAAAACACAGTTGCACTGCTTCCTGGGTCAGTTTTCTACAGCTCAAACTGTCCAGACAAGCGTCTGCTGATCGAATGAATGAAAAATAAAGTAAAAATGCTCCAGCAGTGATTAAATGTTCATTTATGTACGTATACTACTATAGACTAATTTTGATTTTTTTTTTTAAATGCTACGTCATGCTAGTTTATGACATTATCCCTAGCCGTTTATGCACTTCACTATGACTGGTCAAATTATAATTGTGACTCATAACGTAATGAACTGAGTCACGATTACTAAGCAGAAAAGTTGACAAAGAATCTTTCTGTAAAGTAAGTTAATAAATTAAAGAAATTGTGCACATATTTTGGTAGCCTACGTGTAATTTTGATGTAAACCTTTGGTTTGCCAATACAAATGATATTTTAGTTACAATTGTTAACAATAATAAATTAAAGGGATAGATCATCAGCTAAAAATGAAAATTCTGTCATCATTCACCCACTCTCAAGTTGTTTTAAACCTGAATGAGTTTCTTTCTTCTGTTGAATACAAAAGTTTCGATACGGTATTGGGAAAACTCCTCTTTCTTAAATAAAAAATACACAAACCAGACGCGATTTCTGCAAGGGAAGCTCGGCTTCTAGCCTGGTAATACCAGACTCTGCTACTTCACTTTGCTTCGTACACAGAGTCTGGGATAGCATAATAGAGAAGTGTTTTCTCTCTCGCTAGGGGGCGCGTACTGAAGTTTAAAATCATTGGTTACCCGTAAGCCAATCAGATAAGTTTGTTTATGACGTATGTTATGCGCCGACACAGCCATCGAACCACAGACATCATGCATCGAACTCAAATCTATGATCGAACTTCCACTGTAAACACTTGATGATGCGAGCGAAATACCCGAGTGAACATGGCTGTAAACGACTTTTTTGATCTGTGAGTGATGTAATAGAATGACTGCTGCGCTTGACAGAGAGAGAGAGAGAGAGAGAGAGAGAGAGAGAGAGAGAGAGAGAGAGAGAGAGAGAGAGAGAGAGAGAGAGAGAGAGAGAGAGAGAGAGAGAGAGAGAGAGAGAGAGAGAGAGAGAGAGAGAGAGAGAGAGAGAGAGAGAGAGAGAGAGCCCCGGCCGCGCGCGCGCACTCCCACGTCTACAAACAACACGAGCGCTGTCTTGCTCTCTCTCCCTCGCGCATATTCATAAAAATCAATCGACAAGATAGTAAGAGGTCGGAAGACCGCGGTTTCACGTGGAGCATTTGGAGATTTTTAGAGATTATAGACTCTAGGAACAACATCTCAATGAACAACATCTCAACTATAAAGGCCTGTCTCATATAAGTTAGACGCCTATCTCAAGTACAAGCCGGTGCAGTTCGACGATTTGGGCAAATAAAAGCCCGGGCTATTATTTGAAGTTTTACGGTATTTAAGACCTGGAAAAGAAAAGAGACACTGACCTGTCAAAAGGCTCCCCAGTTTCTCGCTGACGATCGGTAATAGTTGATAAATTAAACTTTTCCCAAAGGGAGTAACGTTAGGGCCACAACATCACCTCCATTCAAAATGTTTAATACACACTCTTCGTGTTCGGGCTTCAGTTTGCTAATGCCGGGAATATTCTCCACAACAGAGCGAATTGCATCCGCGTCTCCATATCAGCGGTCGTTTTCGATTTCCCTGACCTAATCTTAAACACGGCGCTTACCGACTACGTCACGGCTTTCAGCCCGCCCTCTGTTCGTTGATTGGCCAGGCTGTTTTCAGGCCGGTGGAAAACAGAAAGATAGGCTGCTATCTCAGACTGACTACAGGAGCGAAATGAAATTAGCGGAAGTAGGAAGTCTGACGTAGTCAGGCTACTCGGCTTCCCCTATAATGTCAAAACAATAATGGTCAAATGTGTAACGAGTTACAGTTTAAAATATATGTTTATATATAATTAGCCTAATTTTAACGAATTATAATTAATTATAAATATTTGAATGTTTTAGCAGAATTAATAGTGCAATTATTTAATCAATTTAATTTAGGTAGCTAGATCAAGATGTTTAAGTGACTGATATTTTTGTGAGTGGCAAACACAGAGACAAAAAAGTGTGAATGTAATGGTTTAATAAACGAAACTACGGTAGGCTACACCAGTGGTTCCCAAACCTGTCCTCAAGGCACCCCAACACTGCACGTTTTCTTTATCTCCCTAATCAAACACACCTGATTCAACTCATCAGCTCATTAACCCATGTGATAACCACAACCTACAAGAGAAACAGAGAATCAGGGTCACCTTAAAGGGCCACAATAACTTAGAAACGCATCTAAAGGCTGCACACGGGTACTTGCATTGACTTCAGTTGCTGAAGTCCAGATGCAGGAGATTCGTGAGATTCTTGATGATTCAGGAGTGCGCTGAAGCGTTCGTTTGGGTTCTTGGGGTTGGTCTGGACACCCCAAGGGTCGTTAGGTCTGATTACCAAATGTAGACGTTCTGACCCGGAAAAGGAAGTAAAACAGCACGAAATGCAATGGATGCAGATGCAAATAAAATTATCCAGTGTTTTGCTTTCCACAATATTTTGAAAAGTCATCAAAACATTGGTCTCGTACGGCAGAGAAAAAAGAGGAGAGCCCTTGTTGGCACTGTAGCCACGAGCACTTAAACCCGTGCCTCCCCATATCTCGTGAAATGTCTTCAAACACGGATTTATTTCTGTAACAACCCTGCCTTTTTGGCTGTACTGTCTCTTCGCCCCAAACACTCAAAAGACATGAAACCTCAGCATTGCCCCACTGAGTGTATCCTTCGTCCTCCATCGTGCCTATAAGTCATGTGATCTCAGTTGGTGGTGTCCACCTGAGTTGACGTCACTTTTTTAATGACGTACGACTCGCATTTACTGGGGAATATCCGATTTGTCTGCTTACAAATGCACGTATCCGATTCATATCCGATTTATTACCACATATGAGTGAGGCCTGAATCCGATCTGAGAAAATCGAAATACATGCGTTTTTTCCCTGCTTACACATTCACCGGTCATATACGATCCGGATTTGGGTCACTTGAACCATGCGTAAATGGGGCCTAAGTCATGGGCAAGATCAGGGTTGAGCATCATTGAGTTGAGCATGCAATCAGTGAAGGTGGTTGCATTCAAGTGGCTAAACATAATGAAACAGTCAAACAAAACTGCCTTATTGAGGTGACATCCTTGCTTGGCCTGCAGGAGCTGTCATGTAGGGGACATGATGAGAGTAGTTGTTGAGCTGAATCTCAGGAGTGATTATGAAAGAACTTCACTTCCCAGAGTGCACCAGCAGCAAACCGGCTGCTTGTCACCTGATTATAATTGTCACTGATTTGGAGCACCTGAAAAAGCATGGAGGTTCTCAGTCAGTCAGAAAAAAAACAAGCTTCAGAGAGAAGAGGCTCCAAGTTCACTCGTAGGTTCAGTCCAAAGACGCCAATGGTCTGTAATATGTTTATTTACTTTCATGGTGTTTGTGCTTAAAGGCACACTATGCAAGAATTGTACCTTGATATAACAGCTTCAAAGTCATTTCGGTGGTAAACAAACTCATAGTAGGGCGAATCATCGTGGTAATAAAGCTTGGCGGGGTCGCCGCTGGAAAAACCAGGAATGCAAGTTTGAGAGGAGCGCCCCCGACAAATCTCGCGAGAATCACGACTTGCTTTACGGCAACGACGTCACACACATCAACAACGATGTCACACACATCAACAACCACATATGAAGCACGAAGACACTTGCGTGCATTTCAGACGTGATACTTGACGATGGAAAAAGCAAAGAAAACGCGGTCGGAAGAGACTTGGAAAAGGAAAAGAGAATCTGACCGCGTGAGGAACCGGAAAAGAGTCCCTGATTCGCCCTCGCTATGTGTGTGCGTGTTGTGTGAGTGAGCGCGAGGGCGGGCGCGGCTGATGAGCTGATCAGCGCCAGCTGTTTTGAATGAGGATGTCCGATATATTGTTTGTTACCTCGTCCTGTCTTTGTCAGTTGGTTGTTGAGGCTACCAGGGTTCTACTCGCCGTGTTCTCCTGCATTCCACTCCTGTACCATGCTGTGGTTTCCTGAGATTTTCCCGGAGGAATTTCTACCTGTTCCTGCATCTGTGTCTGCCCACTGCGTCCCTGCGTTGCTGAGACTGAGTCTTCTTCTGTCTGCTTCCATTTTGACCCACACGGATATCTACTATTGTGCTCAATAAATTACTGTTTACTCGCAACTGAATCCTTTGACTATTTCCTTGTGACAGTCCCACTCGGTCGGGCTTTCACTAGTTGGCGCGAGCTAAAAAGCAGCACTGGATTCAACCGCGATGCTGACCTGGCGATCTTGTTGATGGATTAAGTAGCCTAAATCTCTTATTTCTAAACTTGATTGCGTTCTATGTTTTTGCGCTTGCTTGTAGTATGCCATTTTTTTACAATGCTGTTCATTCATCCATTGTTGATAATTAGACCAGTCCAAAAATGTCCACATAATGTCTAGATAGCTATTTACGACAGTGTAAGTGTTCCACAGCGACTATAGGGGTCACTGTTTGACTAAAACACAATTTCTGCATAATGTGCCTTTAATATGTTTGAGCTATGTTTAACTGCTGTGTAGATGTTAAGTAACACATTGCAGCATTTCCTTCATTTATTTTGTGTTTGTGCTAAAATAATATTACATTGAGTTTGAAAATAATTAAGAGTATAAGATAAAAAAGGATGGTATAAAGTTAAAAGTGGTAAAATTTGATTAATGAAATAATTTTTCTTTGTTCCATCTAAAAGGCTTAAGTGGTTAATTAATTTAAAAAGCATTAATGTTTGATTAAAATGTTTGAATAAAATTGTAACT